CTAGGGAAAGTTAAGGCAGACAAAGAAGAGGAAGAGCAAGTATGAGATAGATTGATTCCATAAATGAAGCCACAGCCTTGGTTTTGCAAGAGCTCAGCTGAATTGTCAAGGACAGGGCATTTTGAAGGGCTTTCATTCTTAGGGTTGGAGATGACTTGACCGAACACAAGAGCAGCAACATTCCTATGTAGTGATGTGTAGCATAGTATCGTCACTTGTGTTCCTGGTGTGCTAGTGGGCTGTTTGTACTAAAGCCCTCAGTATTTGCCCAATGCAGAATCTGCAGGATGTAACCCTAAGCCTAACCCATACCTGTACAGAGTACAGTTCAGGTTTAACATTAAATCATTTGAATAAGATTACCTTGAACACAGAAAAATGCAGATTATGTATTATTAAAAACAAATCTGCATCTGACACTATTTTCAAGCATGAAAAATGTGCCACAGAGACCATTTGTGACTAGCTTTTATGGAAAGGACTTCAGTTTGAATTTTTTCCACTAAGAATAAGAAGTAGTAGTAAGATGTACCACAAGCTCCACATATGCTTTCTTTATGTAATGTTGGAATACATTGAAGGTAAGGTGAAACCTTGATACTGATTCCTTTCCTTTCCTTTCCTTTCCTTTCCTTTCCTTTCCTTTCCTTTCCTTTGGAAAATGGTGTCCAGCAAGATTGAAGCACTAGTGATACTGAAGTTCAATGAGAATTAACTTTTAAAAATATGTAACAGAAACCACAGACCTGAAGCAGATCTAAAATCATTAGAATGTAAGTTTTAAACAACTGTCATTTATCTTCAATATCTGCTGAGATCAGATCAAACTAATATTGGATATATGTTCAAAGAATTACAAGCAATATTACAGTATTATAAACACTGAGCATATAAAATTGTTAATTTGTCCCAGACTTTTGCTTTCTTGTTCAACAGGATAGAGTAGATTTGCATAGGCCTGGCAGACCTTATGAAAGTAAGTTATCCTAAAGAGACAGGTTCCTCCTTCAGTCCACATAAACAAGGTTAGAACAAGAGATAACAATGGGTTGCTTCAAATGGGTTGCTCATTCTCATTCTCTCTCTCTCTCTCTCTCTCTCTCTCTCTCTCTCTCTCTCTCTCTCTCTCTCTCTGTGTTTTTTTTTTTTCTCTGTTTTATACCAGCATTTTCTGATAAAGGAAATTTGTAAATTGGATTTGACATCTAATTACTGAGGTGCTATAAGGAACCTTTGTTTGTAGCAGGAAGAGGGTGATCTGCAATATGACAAACTCAAAAAGCCAAGAAGTGATGGAACTGTAACATTTAATAGAATCCATAAAGAGAAATTAATGGTGCACGTGAAATTTGGGGGGGGGGGAACACACCTTAAAACCCTTTCTCCTCTTCACTAATTTTGAGCTTTCACATGAGCACATCAGGTGGCACACTTTCCTAGGGTCATTGATTTTTCTGCTTTGTATGATTTTAGGGCCAGTTCTGCTTCTCAGCAGACACAGTGTGGGGTTCTCTTCAAAACCCCCACTGAAAATT